AATATTCATCGAAATTAGAGAATTGAAGATATCATCACAAAATGAACAAATCTGAGAGAGGTACAAATGTAACACACAGACAATCAAGGAGAGGTACATATGATAAGCTCCGCTGGACAAAGTCTACAGCAGAGCTAAAAAAGTATTACCTACAAATACTTGTATGTTATAAAATGACATACTGCTTATACAGGTACTTGAAATCACAGAGTGACTTTGAAACCTGGTTTCTATGTAAGGGGGGGGGGGTGTCATTTTATAACCGTCTTCTTGTAACATGGCTACAATTACGCTTACGTAAATTACAGAGGTGTTTCTATTGTTAAAATAAGTCATACTTTGATTACTGAGTATACACCAAAAGTGATTTTAACTTTATATTCACTTCTAATAGAGTATATAGGATACTTGTTCCCTGGGATAAAGCCAAATACAAAAAATAATGCATTTCCGATAACCCCAACTTTGCCTAGATTTTTCAAGCCTACCCTGCATCTTTTCATGGAAAAACTGTAAAATGGGCACTTTTTAAAAATTTTAGCTGTAAATGAAATTCTTCATTTTTGAACCAAAATGTCAACCTGTGGTTTTTTTATTAATTTTCATAAAATAAAAAATTATTCGCACTTACCTACCCTACTTTTGTTTTCAATGTTACCAGAAATATACTGAAAAGTTTTATTTGTCCTAAACATGACTGTCATTACAATTCAAACATTCCTCAAACATTCCTCAAAGTTTTTCAAGACAAGACAAGAAGTTACATAGTCAAACATTGTTTGTTCATGTTGTTTTCCCATATTAATTTCAGTTGTCTGTAAAGCCCATTAAGTTCATTACCAAAATTTGATTGACTTTTATCATGAGTAAAATTATACAATTGATTACATAATTCTTCATTATAACTTTATTTATATCTTCAGTACATGTTCGAAAACTCTATGATCTATGTGCAAATTCAATGGCAATTTTTAATGACGCTAGTTGGTGTGATGTTTTCACCTTGGAAGATCTAAGGATTATGGAGTATTGGTTAGATTTAAAGCACTATTGGAGGAAAAGCTACGGATATAAGATTAATTATCATATTAGTTGTCAGCTTTTACAGCATATATTTAGTACGCTGGAAGACGCCATGATGGACGAAAGGACAGTGTTAAGGTTTGTAAACAGAAAATGCATGTTGTTTGTAACTGGAGCTTAATTTAATTCCAATCTGATTAAAATTAAAATCCTGGTGCAGGTTTTTTTTTCCCGTTTTTAAATATGTATTTTTCATATATATTTTTTTTATTTGCTGGCATTTTGTTTTATATATAAAAATGTTGGTTCTCGCCAAATCAACAATGTGGTCATAGTTGAAATAATACAAAATGTACGTAATAAGAATCAACAAAAAAAATACTAAAAAATTAGTGAAATATATGAAATAAAAAAAATACTTGCCATGTATGATTGGTTCTTTCACACCCCTTAAAGTTAAAGTTCTTGAATGCAAAATTTCAAAAAGTAATGTTGTATTTGTCCTATTATAAACACATCTACAGTTGTAAACTGAATCATTAAGATATGAGTTGTCTTGACCATAGAAACTAAATATTTCTAATTTTATTACATTTTGTGTCAAAGTGAAATAATCTTTTGTAACATTTTCAATTTTGATGGTATAATGACTACTTATATATATTTTCTATTATTCTGTTGCAGTAACCATGACAACTCTCCTGTGGGTGTATTTCGCTTTGGACACGCTGAAACATTTTTACCATTGTTAAGTATTCTTGGGTTGTACAAAGACGAAGACAATATCTTGAGATATGACAATTACCATAGCAACAGGAATAGAACTTTTCGAACCAGCAAGCTGTCTCCGTTTGCTGGTAACATAGCCTTTGTTTTATACAGCTGTACAGATAGCACTGGAAACTCAATGTATATGATAGAGGTATTACTCCATGAACAGCCAGTGACTTTACCGTGCTGTACTTCAACTTTATGCTCCTATGATGTTATTAAACAATTTTATTCCACATGGCTGGAAGATTGTGACTTCACAGAGATTTGTCGGATGAGAAATGAAAAACTGCCCTCTAAAGATGAACTTTAACCTTTTGAGCACCATATTTTTTCCCGCCAAAATTTTACACATGTATTTTTTGTTGTTAATTTAGGACTAAATTAGCATAATTGCTAATTGGTCTTGATAAAATGTTTTTTAAAAAAAACTTATTTTTTGAACGGTGAAAAAACTTCTCTTCATCTTGGTCAATCTTTTCATCTTGATCAATATTTTCGGAAACTATAGAAAAAATGATAGAAGTTTATTTTGTTAAAAGTGAAGTTGGCATTTAAAATAATATCCACATGTGTTGCAATTTGTTTCTGCTTTTCTTCCCTTGTATGGTGTGAACTATGTCACCAACATTGTACACAGTATTGACAACATATTCAACTTTCAGCGCAAAATGTTTTCTTTGGAATTTTTCACTGTCGTCCCTCATTAAATTATTGCTATATCCTTTTTCTTACCAGTTCCCTCTTTTCATCACAAATTCACAAAATAGTACCAAATAGTCTGCACTTTCTTTCAGAAGATTGTGACAAAAATAGCCAAATTTTTTGAGTAAAAACTAAAAATTGACTCAGAATTTGCATGTTGGCTCCATAATTAGAGTTCATTTCCAGAAATATTGAAAAATATAAGAAAAAGTGCAGAAAAATTAGGCAAACAAGTCTTTGTGGTGAAAAGAATAAGCAGAGAAAATATGTAAAAAAAATAATTTTATCACAAGAAACCGCAAAGAGTACACTTTTGCAATACAGGGATCATATTGACTTGACAATATGTATAGTATAGTTTCAATTTTTTTTGTTTAAAAAATAAGTTTTTCTTGTAAAATATTGTCTGACAGAAACAGGAAACTTAGTATATACTTTACAACCTGTTTTTTTTTTCTAAGGATTATTCTTTCTTACATATTGGTGCAAATTTTCTTACTATGATTTTCTTAAAATTCAATTTTAGCGAGAAATCTTTGTGATTTGCACGGACAGAATTTAATGAATTTCTGTTCACTGTGTAGATCCCACACTATGAAATAAAATGTAAAAATGGAACAAACAAAGGTTATAGTGGCGTCAAAATATCTAGTTTGAATTTGACAAAGGTTATAGTGGTGTCAAAATATCTAGTTTGAATTTGACAAAGGTTATAGTGGTGTCAAAATATCTAGTTTGAGTTTGACAAACCAAGGTTATAGTGGTGTCAAAATATCTAGTTTGAATTTGACAAACAAAGGTTATAGTGGTGTCAAAATATCTAGTTTGAATTTGACAAAGGTTATAGTGGCGTCAAAATATCTAGTTTGAATTTGACAAAGGTTATAGTGGTGTCAAAATATCTAGTTTGAGTTTGACAAACCAAGGTTATAGTGGT